ATTATTTGTTTTTCTTTTAAGTAAATTTAGCCTACTTTTGCTAAAAGAGAAAATATGGACTAGTGATAGTGCCTTGAATAATATCGGCTTCTTTCATTCATGTTATGGGTATTTTTATACAAAGGAATTTTTTTTGTGCCTGTTGAAAATTAAAGTTTACTGACGTAGCCATAAAAAAATGTTGCTTTATTTATCTGACCATATTGGAATGTATTTGTTCGGTTTTCAGTCAATTAAATTTGGTTCAATAAACAATATGTGGTCATTTTTAAAATTTTCAATGAACATTCGATCAGTCCGGCCCTCGGCTTGCAGCAAAATTTTTTATCTGGCCCTCCGTCCATTTGACTTTGACACCCCTGTTCTAAGGGATCATAGATCTCAAGTGATGAGCTTATACGCCTGCCCTCCATGCATTGAAATGCCTCCAGGGTCCTTTAATCTTTTAATTATGTTATGCACTATGGACGGTGAAATATGTAAATCCCTTTCCGTCTGTCTTTTTCCAATTTCCATTCCTGCAAATTGTTGGTTCCTTGGCTTGAAGCACATGAGCTACAGTAAATAGAATTTATTCCCTTGCAATGAAATTAAAATGACATTTTCCTTGTCCTAACCCAGATTGTTTGTATCCTTCAGGCTTTGCCGTTGCAGTGAATGCTTTTCTTACCCACAAGAGACGGACGGTGGCTATGCTGTGTAAATGAAACCTGCATTGTTTCCATCCGCATCTCAATCCTTCTTGCCTTTCCTGGCACTCCGCTGCAATTCTTGCCTCATCTCATAGACCATAGATCACTGGAAATGTGTGACACAATAGGCCCGCATGTCAATTGCATTTCCAGCATGCACAAACGCATGCACCCTCGTTTGTGGGTCAAGCCAAATAGCGATCTGCAACAAATGCCAATCTGTGGCAAGAAAATGCAATCGCGGACGGACAGAAAAAGAGATGTATCGTAATAATAAAATATAGTAATGACCATTAAATAATATGAAAACAGCATTGTAGTACGAGTAAAAAAACAATGATTGTTATTATTTCGTATCAACGGGTCAATAAAAAGAGTTCACCACTACTACGTCTTAGATGTTGTGTTGCCAATCAATTGGAAATAGCTTGATTATCGCTAGTAACACATTGTAAAAATAAATCAATAAATAAATAAATAATCTCACCTCTCTGTGTGTCCACGTGGACCTCATGTAATGCTTGGTCAGTGTATGCAATGTGTGTTGCGCTAGTCTTCAAATCAGTGTTGCCAGTCGCAATCTATTAATTTATGCAAATGTATGGTTATGTACTCATGACATATCAGTTACCACTTCATGCAGTCAAACAACTACACCACAAGCGGGACAGGAAACAATACCGCAATCATCAAACGCGTGTGTTTTCACACTACTCAATGTTGTTCATGCCACATTTCCCATACATATCTCATCATGAAGAAGTCATAGTGTGTAAGTGTGATTCATTTCAAACACATCGGGTCATCTCTACGCATGTGGCAGGACGTGTGAAGTTGACATTGACAGACAGTGTCGGGATCACCTTTGTTGCGCAAGTTAGTGCAACTGTTTTCTCACGGTGCATCACTGGCATTGTGTGTGAAATGACATTGTTCATTTTTTTTTTGTTTTTGAGACAAACTGTTGCACATGTATGGTATAGTTACATTTTGCCAGTTTCTTTGTCCTGACAAAGACACGTTTTGTTCATGACATTCACTAATTGGACACTGCACATTTGTTGCTGTTAAAAAGTAAACTCGGCTTCACAATTTATCTCCCAGTGAAAGTGCATGGTGGAATTATCATTATTGTCAGTATAATAGATTTTTGCTGTAATAAAGGTAACCCTAGTAACCTGTACATATCATATTTCCTGGACCCAAAAAAACATCATTTTTTTCTTTGTCAGGACAATGTATTTGTTGGATGTTAAGGTTGGTGTTTATCAATTCAAGGTTGACAATTTTCAGTGCTGGGTCTTGGAAAATGTATAAAATTCATGTTGAGGTAACTCTTTGCTCCCCCAATTTTGTCGCGGTACCTCCAACTGCTTTTGGCCTTTAAATAGAGTGCACTGTTCCTATACATTGAACGTAGCCTTGAAGGACAATAAAGAATTGCTTCCAATAAAAGTGAAGGTTGTATGGGCTGTGCTCATTCCCAATCATGCATACCAAGAACAACAAAAGCATAGGACTCATGTGACCTTGCAATCTCAAACCTCATCTCACTTGATGATCATGATGATGGTGATTACACAGCGAGGGGGAGAAGAATGCAGATGCACCGCCGTAGGTAGAAGGTCGAGGCAATTACATCAAAAATGTTGACAATGGCTCATCACGAAAATAATGGCTGGAAAGCTGAGAGCGCATGTGGTAGTTTGTGTAAATCATATGGACAAATACCTTTTTTTTTTTTTTTTTTTTTTCAGAAATAGTCAAATGTCTGCAACCTTGCACATAACGATACATAATTTGTCCCGATTTACACTGCTGCACTATTACCTGAATACACTGTCTTTTTTGTTTTCTTAAAGTGCCATTTTAAAAACAGTGTTTATGTACAATACCTGGCTCCCTTTTTCCCTCAGTACTCCCCTTTCTTTTATGTTTTGTACTTTTTAAAATGTTTTGTACTAGCAAAGTAGGAATTTCGTTCCTCGCTCATACCATTGTGTTTTTGTCGTGCCTATGACAATCATTGCATTTCTTTTGTTCTTCGTGTCGCTTTGTCTCAGCTTCGGTCAAATGCTGATGTTGACAAGGTATGATTACTGCAGTTGCTGTGTTATTAGTTCACCATTTAAGGTAGTTTGGTTCTTTTTGCAAAAATGTGACCTTAGTTCAAAAGCGTAAGGAATTGCATTTTTTTCCACCCCATGTCAGTCATGCCTGTCACGGTCACGTGGTTGGTTCTGCTTTGAGGTCACGTCAAATTGTATGTATTTTTTTTTCTCCCATGAGCTCATTATCAGTGCGAGAGGCCAAGGAGGTCGTTCGCATCGTAGGATCCACGGCTATAGAAGCTGGGTCCAGGGATGTGGAATGTCCCCTGTGTGACAGGGAGGTAACCCGAGCTGGTGTGTGTGGTCGAGAGGTTCCGACTGGATACAGACAGGCTCACCTCAACACACACAAGCTCCGGTACTGGTCCTTGAGAGGGTTTTGACTCACTTTCCATTCTGGAGTTCCCCATGGTGAAAGGCGCCAAGTAGGTGTGTGGGCATACTTATTGTCCCTCTGGTTCGGTGCCTGCACACTGGGATTGGCGCCAGTGGATGAGACGGTGGCCTCCCTCTGCCTTCGAGTCTGTGCCTCTGCAGTACACAGCAGCTCATGCTAGCAACCCTTTTATCTGCTGAATGCTCCAAAATCATTGATCCAAGTGTGGTGTTGTTTCAGGTTAGTCAGTTAATCGCAAACAGTAATAGGATTTGGAATCCGTGTATCATTCGTTCTTTCCCTCTTCAAATTGTTATTAGGCAGATTTTGGGTAGGTTTACGTGACCTTGAACTTTGGTAATGAGCATCAAGAAAGATCCATTAGCTTCTTTTTTAGCTGCTGACAAAACTTTGACTATCTGCTAGATTAGAACAGGGTTGATTATGTCTTCAGGGCACAAGTGTTAAACTCCGGTCCTTGAGAGCTGGAGTCCCGCACGTTTTAGATGTTAAGCTCTTCCTACGCATCTCATTGAAATGATCAGCTCATCAGCAAACTCTGAAAAGCCTGATAACGATTCTGATCATTTGAATGAGGGAAACATCTGAAACCTGCAGGTTTGACACCTGTGCTTTCGAGGCAACAAACACGTGACTCTTACGGGGGAATCCACATGAATAGCTTTCACTGCTGTTTGTTTTTCTACGTTGTTTTGAACTCATTCATGTCCACACAAAACACTGGACTAAATGGTGTGGGTCAAATCACTTCAACACCTTTATTTTCATCCTTTTTTCACTTTCCGTTGTACAATAATACACCTGGAACTGGGTGTATGCCTTGTTTGCTCAGAACCGTAGAGTGCTCATAGACAAAGTGGATGAAAATCACAGCAGGCCTGGCAGCCACAAAAGCATGTTTGCCTTTTCGGATGTAATGCATGACGTCGACTACAATAATGTTTCAAATATTGTTTTTCCTTAAACTAAAATGGCTGACAGATCATTTGAAGGATCATGAGCCTGCTCTGGATTAATCGTGATGGCTAACAAACTGATGTAGATTTACTCATGCTCCTGACCAAATTTATGTAAACACAACTGATATTGAAATATTAAAATCAAATTCAGCCCTGTGGCCAATTTTCGATTTTGCATATTTGATCATGGTGTACAATTGAATTTTGAAAAAGTATTTCCTTTTTTTTTGTCTGCATGTTAGATTAAAACAAAACAACCAGTCAGTTTTTCATGTTTCGTTCTTGATTATTTGCATTTTGACATGTTTTTTTTGTCAGTTAAGAAATGCCATATGACTAAGACAAAGGGACAACATTGGTAGGAAGGCAGGAGGAGTACAGTGGACTGACCAAGATGTATTTAACAAAAATATAAACAGGAGTACACTGGAAAAACAATAACTTGAAGTACTCGAACAAAGCCCTGAAATTCACAAGAAACCAAAGTAGCAAAAACCCTGTGACAGAAAACACAACATGACAGGGGCACGCAGACACCCACACAATTATTGTGTGGGTGTCTTTGTTGAAGCACCACAAAGACTGACAGAATTCAGAGAGCTAAATCCAAGCAAAGTGACGAGACAACGAGAAACACCTGGACAAGACACAAAGGGTTGAGGGAGCTGATTGGTTGAACACAAGGGACACTGATGACGAGAACAGGTGCAGTCAAAAAGGGCACATGAGGGAACAAAACCAAACAAAAACATAACCGTAGGTGGTTGGAGGTGGGAAGGGGAAGACACTGAGAGAATCCCGTTACATTCTTTTGGAATGTTCAGTAAATGTAAAAATATTTCAGAATACTGCTCTCGTTTCCTTGGCAAATTAATCCCCGGATTGAAAACATTGGTTCTGTGTAAGCAGAGCTGTGGGATGTCTACCTAACTTTTCTCCTCATTCATCCTACAGAAGCACCTTTCCTACCACTGTGACGTCTCATCGAGCTGGTTTTTCAAAAGTGTCCTTTCTTGAAAAATGTATGTTTTTCTCTACTGCCCGCAAACCTATGCGATACATTCAAGGTCCTTGTTTTCCTCTGTTGACAAATGAAAAGGGCTCCAAACAAAGCCTAATGTCATCAGAGCGAGAGCAAGTCAGCCTGCAGAAAACACTGCAGTCATCTATTTCCTACATGGCTGCGGACACATAGGTGGGCTTTTTTATATTGTTCTAACATGTGGGGCTTGTGTTGTTTATTACTGCAGTGACAGAAGACAACAGCGATGCACTACGATGGAATTGGCTGTATTCAGTGGACGTTTGGTCATTTTCAGCCAAGAAATAGTACATGCACATTCGTAGACATATTGAAACCTTTCAGAGTGGATAGCCATTCAAATGTTGTTTTCTGTTATATTAATTAATCTTAATGTCACAGTTGTGAATCAACCATGACAATGGGCCCTATGTGTGTTGCCATCCACTGCTGTTATTTATTTTTTTCATGCCTAAAAACCAATAAGAACACTTGATTAAAAACAAAATCCTGATGTTGGTTACCATTATTTGTGCATGAAAGGGTGAACTGACAGTGTTGTACATTTGCATAAACAAAAGATGTCAGATAGCAGTGTTACACCTGACTGCATGGAAACAGGGGGAACATCATGTCGTCCACTTCGGTAACCCCCCATTGTTTAGCATTACAGGCATTATGTCTGTACAAAAACAGCCAGGCAGCATGATGGAAAAGATACGTTCCTTGATAAAGGGGCCAGTGAGGCAACAAGCCTGTCATAGTTCAAATGTGTCTTGCAGGCTTCTATTATAAGCAACGTTTTATTTTTGTTTCAAGTGTTTTTCTCTTCCGATTCCCAGCTGATAGTTTGGGACGCTGGCCAAGTTAGGTAAGGGCTCCGCACTAGGCTGCACAGCACAAGTGTGAAATTCAGTGAGGTGCTAGCAAGAAAGAGCTTAATATGCATATTTTGCCGAGTAACAGTGAAATTAACCCCCGAAAAAGTCTTTTAACCATGGCTAACAGGCACGGGAAAGGAAAATACAGGACACTCGTTCGCGCCCATTGTTCTTGTTTCCTCAGAGTGCTTTGCTCTGACTGATGCGTTCAATGTGCCATTCATGTTTTTTTTTTTTTTTCATGGCACGATTTTGCAGTGGCTATTCAACAAGCCAAACAGAGGCAAGTTGAAGCCAACTGAACCTGTGGAGCAGAAACACAGCATTCGATTTCCAGATCCAGTCATGCATCCATTATATCCAACAAACTGCTTTTCCTGTTTCTTGAACGCAACCTGGCAATATATGTAATCTAGCTTGAAGTGAAGGTGAAACAAAAATGATAAAGATTGGCTGTGACAGAAATTCTTGTCCAAACGTGTAGCTCTCCCATACTATTGGGACCCCTGCATTTTATCAGCAGTCAAATAATGATGACTTTTGGCTGCCGTCTTCAAACTGTCAACTCAAAATGGAATCTGAGAGCTTGATCACAATCCGCGCTAGTTGACTTCAAATATGATTAGATTTGAAAAAAATAATTTTGCCCACGGGAATTATACAAACTGTTCCTGAGTCAACCTGTCACAATCATCAAACCTTTACGTCCAATCAAATGCTAACATTTTACCACTCTTAAAAGGCCGCAATTTTGCCACTGGCCTGTCGACTTAAAATGACATCACAGTGCCCAAGAGTTCATCTTGCCAACATCACATGACCAAACCCAGAAAACAGGTGAGCTATGACATTCATTACTTGAGAATGTTTAGACGAGCAAAATGAGTTGACCACTGTTAGTACTAAAACCTGAAAGTACTTTCTGATACATGATAAAATGCAAAAACAGTCACACAATCCACTTTAACTGAGGTGACATAACTGCTCATTGTTGACTTAGCAATATTACGGCTTTAAACTCCAATAACTACAGTGATCTTCTCTTTCTGACTGGAAAAAAAAAAAAAAAAAACCAAAACATGCAGAGTCTATTCTTTGACGCCCTCTGAACTTAGGTCTGGTGAGATATGCTGAGATCTTGCGTGATGTCATATTGGCTGTTTTCAGTTTCCCTGAAATATTCCGTGTTGTTTGGTCTCATGGGCATTTATTTCATTTATTTTTTGCTGTGTTTTCAAGCAGGAACCCAACTGCCTGCAAATAATTCAGTTCAACCCAGTAGGATGTGGAAGCTGAGGTAAAAAGAAAAAAACAAAATCTACCAAAAGTGACAGCATTCTATTAGCTGTCATTTTCGACCTATTTTGATGTGAGGCCATCAGTGATTGGCATAGTGTTTTCTAGTTTTTGGTGTCCCTTTGTTCCATTTTGTGACATGATGAAATGTTGCCGCTGACAGCAATTATACATGACTGAAAGAAAGTGAAGCATAGACTGCGCGCAACTGTGTTCTCAGGAAGATGAAAAGAATAAACACTGGATGACAACTCATCGCCGCAGTAAAAACCACAGACATAAAGAAAAGAAACAGACATTATCCAAACCTGGAAACCGCCGTGTTAGCAGGCACAGTTTAAAGTGAGATGACAACTTCTGCGCAGACATCATGAGCTAAAGTTATTGTGTCGACCCGTTGTCAGTGCACACATCAGGGATGCAGTAGACACAATAACAAAAGTCGCTTAGTGAGCAAGTGGAATGTAAAAAGTCATCAGTCTCAGAAGACGACATCAACACATACAATATCAGTCAGCATCTTTCCACAATGTCACATGAAATGTAGAAATCACTTGCTTGGAAAGTTGCCCTTTGTAGTCATTTCTCACTTGAGTTAGCATCCTGTACAAACACTGTGCCTCCATTAGATTTGCTTTGGTATTGTAACACATACTGTACTTCTGCTAAGGCCAAAGTCAAACAGAAAAGTGACTATTTTGTATTTTGAGGCCGGCCGTGTTTGTGTTTTTCATCAGCCAGCGTCATTCAAGCAAAAAAGGTTGCGGTGGCCGAAGACTTTTCCACACCACTGTGTAGTATTCAAACTCATTGTTTTTTGTTGTTGTTTGTTTTGTTAATTTTGTATTTTTTTTTTCTTTAATCAGCCTGACTGCCTCCACTCAGCTGCTCCCACTGGCAACAATTGTAGTGATGGGGAATGGTAGAATAGAAGGCATGCCACCATGTCGCCGCTCCTTGGCACGTTCTACAATTTGTAGACACTAAATGGCATGACGTGGCATTGGTCGACTTAGCACGTCCGCCTCACAGTGCAGGGGTCATGGGTTCGAATCCAGCCCCCGGCCTTCCTGTATAGAGTTTGCAGGTCCTCCCCGTGCATTCGTGGGTTTTCTCCAGGTGCTCCGGTTTCCTCCCACATTCCAAAAACATGCATGGTAGGCTGAGTGAACACTCCAAATTGTCCTTAGATGTGTTTGTGAGTGCGAATGGTTGATTGTGAATATGTGCCCTGCGATTGGATGGCAACCAGTGAGAATAAGCGGCTCAGATCATGGATGGATGGATGTATCGACAAATGGCCTGACAATAAAGTAGTCCATTTCATATCAAGAAAAAAATGAAATGCCTTTTCCTCCCCAAGTTTGACATCAAGCAGCGCTTTGAAAACTTGATGACAATTTGTCAGATCGAAGATAAAGATCTTTGCTTAGATTAAAAACCTTTTTGAACATTTCTATGTGCCAGTGAGACTCATACAATTACTTAGCATTTCATTTGTGAGACTGAAATAATGTGGCGTTTCTCATTTTACGGCCTTCTATTGTCAATGTTTAATTGTTCCTGAGGGGATTTAAAAAAAAAAAATTCTAGATGCTTCTATCGTCCATCACACCTTTACAGTACACTTTTACGCCTTTCTACAGGGCTCTGCAGTGTTTTCGTTCATCCATTCCTTCATTTTAGAATCCATACACAATTTGAGATCTTGATATAAAGAGCATTTGATCAATAACTCAAGAGTTTAATTGTCTTAAATCGTCTCCCTGCACTTGCCTGTTTGATTCATTGAAATGTACATAGGTGCGAATGTGAGTGTATGTCGACCGAAGGTATATCTGCCCTACGTTTGGCGTGGATGTTGTAGGTCACCTTAATGGTCGAAGAAATTTGAAATGTAGTCCTGTTTTATTTGAGCACAAAAACCTGGCATTTGAACAGGGATGTGTCCACTTTTTATATCTACTGACACAGCTCCAAAGCTAATAATGTGGCATCTGAGCAATGTTTTCAATAAATGTGCAATATTAGCTGCATAAAAACTTGTCATCATGAATGATATCAGGTCATTGCATAAGAGCATTTTTTTCTTCCTCTGCCTTCTTTTCAACACTTGTTTCAGAAGATGGTGTGCAGAATATACAGTACACTGGGAGGTACAGTCCATGTAAAAGCAGCCTCACACATTTCAAGTGCGTCCTTATGGAGTGTCTGCCAGGGATGAGTAAGCAAAAGAGACAGCGAGATTGTGAGGTTGAAGCTCAGGCAGGAGGGTCAACCGCGAATGTTCGATGCTTTACAGCTAGCCACCGACTATCTGCCCTTCATGGTTTCACTCGTTACGTTAAGAGAGAGTTGTTTTATCGGTGTACGGTGGTTAACTCCTTATTACGCAAGAGAATGGTAACACATTAGATGAGCGAGACAAATGTTTATGACATCCTCCTAATTTATCGAGAGAGTGTTTGATTTCACTGATGTATTAAATGGCGGCTCATAACTATTGCTCAGCAAATTGCTTCGATCAGGCATCGGGAACATAAATGCTGGAGGGGGACACAATGTTTCATCAGTGTTGCTGGGGAACTTCCGAACCAAATGTATGACCAAAATGCCATTTTAAATATGGACAAAATATGTGCGTATGAGTTAAATATATGCACTATGTTAACCCAACAACAAAGGGTGTGAAGTAAACAAAATAACCACACACTGTACTTTTTTCCTCAGTGCTCAATGGCTCTCTTGCATGAAAATTATCATTCAAGGAGGGCACACACCTGCTGAACAAGAAACCGACATTAAGTTTAGTGCCTACCTTTGGACATGTTTTCACAACAATCATCCATCCATCCATTTTCTGAATCGCTTTATCCTCACAAGGGTTGCGGGGCGTGCTGGAGCCTATCCCAGCCGTCTTCGGGCAGTACGCAGGGGACACCCTGAACCAGTTGCCAGCCAATCGCAGGGCACACATAGACAAACAACCATACGCGCTCACACTCACACCTTGGGACAATTTAAAATGTTCCATTAACCTGCCACGCATATTTCTGGAATGTGGGAGGAAACCGGAGTACCTGGAGAAAACCCACTCAGGCACGGGGAGAACATGAAAACTCCACCAGGAAGGCCAGAGCCAGAATCGAACCCGGCCCTCACAAAAATCAACTCACTCAAAATGTTAATATTATTGCGATACAATGTTTTTTCGGCATACTCCAAATGTGCAATATATAT